ATTTCACCGTGAAGACAATCTGTTTTGCATGGTTATATGTTTGATGTTGGTTTCTCTGCCTTTTTGCAAAGATAGAGTGACTCCCAAGGTCGGAGCAGCACCCACACACCTCTCTCAGCTACCATCTGCTGGGACCTCTGCTCTTGGCTGCCCCCTGACTTCCCACCCTTTTGCACCCCTCCCTCTGCCCTGGGAGGAGAGCTACAATGCACACCAGGGGCTTCCGGGCTCTCTATCTTCCTTGGGGCTCTGAACCACCAGGCTAGACCAAAAGAAGGGAGAGTGTGGTCAGAGGTCACTCCCCTGACTTCTCCAGGGAAGTAGGCAGGCTGTGTCTCCTGGTGGCCAATTGGCACACTTGCTCTCCTTCCACGTTCTCAGGACCTCCCCCTCCCTTATTCCTGGAGACAAGGCCTGCATTAATCTACTTGAGTGGATTAGCTGGGTGGTGGCTGTAGGCAGGTGACTGTGGCTGGAGGAGGTAGCTCACTGGAGGTGTCCCTCTGGGGTGCACAGTTTGTTCCTGGTGAGCAGAGCCCTCTCTCAGCTTCCTGATGCTACCTTCACTGCCACACCCTTCCGCCTCTCCTAGGGCCCAGCAATGGAGTCGGCCATGTGTGGACAGAGACCTCAGCAACTGTGAGCCCCAAGTTAAGTTTTCCTTCTCTAAAAATTATTCTTGTCAGGTTTTTTGGTCACTGTGGCAAAAAAATCTGACTAAAACAATCCCCTCGAAATGACCTCATTTTAATGTTCCATTTCTTCCTGTTAGAACCGTACTAGCACACCGATGTGTGTCGATGTGTGTCACTTTAATACATATAGTAAGATCTAGAAGTTCATTCAAAGATAACTATTAAAGTTTTCAAAGTGAGCTTTCAGTATAAATACTGAAACAGTAATACAGTGGCTCAGAAACATGCTGGGAATTTACAAAACCCATTTGCAGCTGACTGGTTTGGGAACTCACTGAATTCATTAAGCCAAAGGTTGTTTGTTTGTTTGTTTGTTTTTTATTTATTGGTATCTTGTTTTTGGATTTGCTTTTGCATTTCATGGAACCAGAGATGGGAAGGAAGGTGCTCTAGTCACTCAGAAAATACACGGTTGTGTTGATTGTCATGTTAGAACCCAAATCTCCACAATCTTGTAGCCAAGTCTATCTTCATCATATAATGTAGCTCAGTCCCAGCATTTATGACCTGGGCTGAACAATGTGCAGAATCTCCAAATACGAGATGGTACCTTCTGCCTTTCAGCCACAGTCGAGTCTTCTCCTGGGTTTCTTTTCAAAGTTTCATGACGTCCACTTAAATCAGTAGCTCCTGCATTGCCCAGAAAACACAGATCACAAGCACCTGCCCAGCGCACATTTCAGTCCATTTCCTGGATTCATCTGAGTGGATACAGAGAAGCCGGGCAACCAGATTGACACTTCATGAGAACACAGGCAAAAACCAGAAGTTGGGCAGCCCCAAGGGACAAGACGATGACCAGGAACTGTGGTCTTCCATGGAAGAGAATCCCAGGGTGATGCTGGACAGAGGTCACACTTGACATTCACTTGCTAGAAGGGGGCAGTTGTGGCATCTAAGGTCCTCAAGCCCCTAATGAAACTGCCAGCGTAGCCTTTATTTTCACTTTTATAAGATCCAAAAAACCTTCTTCCATGAAGGGTGCTGAGTTTCCCGGTGGTCGTGATCCACCACCGGGCTGAAAGGTTCAAAAGTGGTTCCTGAAATATAAAACTAGGCACCTTCACATCAACAGCCAGATTTGTATGTCTCTTGAAATGTTTTTATTGGGTTCTTTTGCACCCAGACTTTTACAGATGCTAATCCTCCCAGTCCCCCATGAGTTGCCCAACTCTCACCTGCACCACCTGCAGAGGTTGATTGTTCTTTGGTGTTTTGGTTTTGGTTTTGGGGCTGGACCCTCCACACATTCCCATCTCAGTATCCAAAGGAAAAGGAGGCATGAAATTGCTTGCTCTTGACTCGCTGGTTCCTCAGATTCTTGGAGCTCAGACCCAGAATCCAGTGGAATTTCATCACTTTTCGTAATAGCAATCTTTGTCTCAGAGAAATGAACACATTTTTTTAATCTATCCAGCTAATCCATGTACTGTTTCTTGCTTTTTGAGCTAAAACAAATATATACATATAATAATCTTTCATTTACAGCATGGACATCATTATATCATGTAGGACTAACAGATGGCTTAATTTTGATGGTAAGATATATTCTATGAA